ACACACACACACACACACACACACACACACACACACACACACACACACAGAGTTCACTTTTTTTTTTATAAGAAGGAAAATAATTTCTCCCTTGCAGAGTCTGGTGTAGGTCTGTGCATAGCTGATATTGACTGTGGATCTCCAAGCTCCATGTTTCTTGTACCACCACATTTCCTGTCAAACAGGACTGCCTTTTTACTTTAATTCTCATTTTAGACTGTGATGTAAGTCTCTTTGAACTGGCCCTCCAACTCCGAGAGAAAAGACTGGACATTGAGGAAGCCTTAGTTGAAGAAAAGAAAATTGTTGATAACCTGAAAAAAGAATATGATACAATCTCCAAAAAGGTATGGTGAACTACCTATTTGTCTTCTAACGTACTATCTACCTACACTCCTATTTCATAGGTGTGACATTGCCAGAGCTTCTCAGAGAAGTTATCAACAGCCATTGAAATGAAAAGTATCAGCTCAGGATACCCCAAGACCAAGTTCTCAGCACAAATGAGATTTATTTGCCCCAGAGGGACAGAGGAACAGGAATCAGAGACAAAGATAAGAAATAGAGGATGAGGGAGTAGGAAGAGAACAAGGGAGTGGGAGGAGGGGTATTTGTTCCCCCGGGTCCCCCAGGACAGAGGACTCCTCTGGAGAGGAGACAGAGGCACAAAGGAAAACCATGGTTTGTAAAAGTAAAATGGGAAGTCCTGTGTTTGGATGAGTTGTTTAATTTTAATCAGACATGTTAATTAGGTGAGCCAAAGGGGCTTTTTCTTTGCTGGATTTGAATACTTTGATATCTGGGCCTTGATAGTAAGCCTTAGGATTTTTTAGACGATGGAGAGTCTACTTTGTGGATGTTGTAGCTTCATGCTTTAAAACACTTTTTTTTAAAAAAATTAAATTTCTTTGGGTCATTGTAACAATAACAACAACAGAATCTTCTACCATTCTGATAAAGATATCATGCTGAAGGCTGGCTTTTACATAGAAAATAAAAGAGAGACCTCTTTTTTTGACCCCTTGTTTAGAAAGTGTTTACAATTCTAGGACACAGGAATGACTGAATAGGTAGTATGCATCCTAACTGGGCAGGAAGAAAATAAACGTTTCTGGGCTGTCTTGTCGACTTAGGCCCTGGGTCACGGCCTCCCAGAGCACATCCTATACCTATTGTTCTTCCTTTCACCTTGCCTTCCATTATTACCACCTTGGACACTGATACCTTCACTGACCGGTGCCCATATCTCTCCCACGGCTTTGTTCAGGTAAAAGTTGTGGCAACCAATCTGAATGCAGCCGAGGAGGCCCTGGAGGCTTATCAGCGAGAGAAGCAGCAGAGGCTGAACGAGCTGCTGGTCGTCATCCCTCTCAAGCTTCACCAGGTGACCCAAGATCAGGACAGAGACAGCATCACACCAAAACCCTCCCACAGCCCCTGTATACAGACAACTTTTCTGTATACAGAACCACATCCCTAACTCTTCTTACCCATTCAGACTTTTAACTAAGGAAAAACACCAAAACAAGCACCCTTCCTTATGGCCCACAGTCACTTCACCAGTGCAGTCGGAAGAATGAAATGGCTGGACGTTAAGATGTTGGGTCTTGCACACAGGTCGCTTCCCACCCATCTTTAATCAGCGGTGCACTGATGAGTGGAAGCCTTATCTTAGTGTCATTAAGTAAGGGAGGTCCAGACAGGTAGAAATTTTTAAAAAAAAATTTTTCCATCTCTGTTCATTTCCACTGTCTATTGAATTACAAATTTACATTAAGCTGTGGAACTTCATATCCCTAAGAAGAGAAAGGCTTGCTGCAGACTCTTGTCACATTAAGAGAAGAGGTCAATCTTAAGGGGCAAGAAACAGTCCAAAAATCAGTTTATTGATAACTTGTTAACAGTTTGTTAAGTCATCTTTGAAATGCCTGCCCCATTGCTATGAAGTAGGTATCAGGCAAGAGCCCGAGGACAACTTTCTGTTCACCTAGTCACCGTCACTGGGGTGAGAAAGAGTGCAGCCTAAGGGTGGGAGGGTTTGAGCAACAGGACAGAGAAACAAGGATCTCTCTCCTCTGCCGTCAGTCTGTCTTTGTCTATGTTGGTTCTGATTTCTATTCGCTTTGTTTTGTTTCCATAGATAGAGTATGTGGTATTTGGGGAGGTGCCTGAAGACCTTTCCGGGACCTTGGTCTTCTCCAACCACTCCCTCGATCGGCTGCAAGAACGAATCATACAGCTCCAAGAGGAAAACGCCAAGCAGCAAAAACTTAACAAAGAATGCAGGGAGAGGCGGAAGCTGCTCATCCGGGAAAAGAGAGAGATGGCGAAAACCATCAACAGTGAGTGTCTCAGCCAGAGGACCACTAGTAACTTGCATTGGTTCAAAAGGCACCCAACAGCCTGCTGGTTTTCAGAAAACAAGGACCGCAGACCCAGTGTTTCCTGTAGTTTTGTCTTCACTGCCTTGTCCCTGAGAGTTGCAGGTGTGCACCCGCCCAGGAGCCATCTCGGTTTCGAGGATGAAACGCACACGCGCGCGCGCGCACACACACACACACACCCCTAGCTCATTCTTAACCTGCCTTATTGGTTCAGTGGCTGCACTCTCCTAAGCCTTCCGCGGCTAGTGTGTCCGTCTCTTTGCTTCTAGTTCAACATCTCTAAATCTGCCCTCAGTTTAGTTGCCCAGTTACCTTCTGTGAAGCCCAATGGTCTTGCTGCCCAACATGCTTCCGGGCTGCCCTTTTGTGGGCAGCTTTCCCCTTCCACCTACATTTTGGAAGCTCTCCCCTGCAGCTCCAAGTCTGTTCCATCTCTCTCCCCCAAGTATCTCGACCCTCCTTTTCCTGCCCTTTCCTCTCTCCTAGATCGGGAACCTGGAAGTCCCACCTCTTTCTTTCTGCCCAGTCATTGGCCACTGGCATCTTTATTGATTGGTCAATAACCAACTGGGGACAAGGACCTTAGGGTATGGACTCGTAGATTCCCAATCAAAGCTTCAGAACCCCTTCCCCAACCCACCACTATGGAGAGGAAACAAAGTACCTGTCACTGCCTGCTTTAAAGAGGAATGGTGTGACATACAGTCTGCCTCTCTTTGTGTATGAGAAAATACAGCAGAATACGATCATCTCTGCTGTTCCAGTCACCATGCTTGAGAACCAGCAATGCCTCTCCTCCTTCTAGTACTGTATGCTCTGTCTCCAGGGCTGGTCACATGGTATAGATGCACACCCGATGATGTATTTTCACGCAGCATGAGTAATTTATTCTTTTTAGCTGCTACTGCAGTATCCCATTTTATGAATATGAACACATTTGCCTAGCCAGTCACCTCTTGAGTATTTTGGTATTTTTAGCTTTTCATTGTCTTAGTGAGACTTTTATACATGATTCCTCATGGACACACTCATAAAAGGTCTCTTGGTTCTATGTTGCTTTGGAACCCTGTAAAGCTATTGTTCCCTATGCTGCCAATGGAAAAGACTTTTTCATTTACTATTATATTCCACTATTAAGTGTGGAATGGAGCAAACAAGAAGAGGTGTGGGAGATGAAGGGGAGTGGCAAAGGAGCGGGGCAGAGGACCACAAGGCCTTACTGTAATGTTTGCTTGGGTTAAGATGTTGTCTCAGGTAGAGTTTTGCTCCTGTGAACAGACACCATGACCAAGGCAACTCTTATAAGGACAACATTTAACTGGGGCTGGCTTACAGGTTCAGAGATTCAGCTTATTATCATCAAGGTGGGAGCATGGCAGTGTCCAGGCAGGCATGGTGCAGGAGGAGCTAAGAGTTCTACTTCTTCATCTGAAGGCAAACAGGAGAAGACTGGCTTCCAGTCAGCTAGGAAGAGGGTATTAAAGTCCACACCTACAGTAACACACCTACTCCAACAAGGCCACACCTCCTAATAGTACCACTCCCTGGGCTAAGTATATACCTACCACCACAGATGGAAAGTTCTAGAAAGTGTCTGCTCCATTCTTAATATTAGATTCTATAGATATCAATGAGAAAAATCAGATAACTTAATACTTTAGTTGGAGACAGCCAATAGTTGAGAAGATCAGAGCTTACAAGCCACTTAGGGAAAAACATGTCCATTTTACCCGAGTTTTTAAAATGAAGAAGGCTGTCTATGAACCAGCATTTTCAGTAAGAAAAGTAGCAGGCAAACATCCACAGGGAAAATCTCTTGCTAACAATGACCAAAAAAAAAAAAAAAAAAAAAAAATCTTAACAGTCTTGCAAAGGCAATCCCTTGGCATCTTCTAGTTACAACTTTGTTGATTTACTATCGGCTTGAAGCCATTTCGGAAACTGAGGCCATAACTGTCATTTCAGAAATGGAAGAAACTGTCCGGGAGCTGATGATCAGCAAGTTTGGCCGTGTGATCGATCTGGAAGCCCTCCAGACCCTTTCTGTTAACACAACCCTTGAAGAACTGAAGATCAAAAAGCTTCGGAAGGAGCTCTCCAATGCAAAGGAGTTAAGGATGTGGGAGGTAAGGGAAGGGAAGAGGCCATCGGAGGGGTTATAAAGTCCTGGTGGGGCTCTGCACAGCACCAGGGGCCTGCCTCACTTCCCTACTAGAGAGACTTGTCTGTCTTGAAGGGCCAAGTGATGCATTAAAGTATATATGTGCCCGTGGTTTTGAATATGAAACCACTATTCTCTGAGAATCCCCACTGTTCTACTTAAAAGCTTTGGTCTCCGATACCAGTTTGGAAATTAGAAAGCACATTAGAGCTTGGGGGCTTAGGGTCAATGATGACAGTATTCGCTTAGCCCATACAAGGTCCCAGGTTCAATCCCCAGCACCATTAATAAATTATACATCTATAGTTCTGTGTATGTGCATACACTGTGACCGTGCATCCATGGAGGTCAGAGGACAACTTGCAGGTGTTGATCTCACCTTCTACCAAGTGGGTCCTGAGGATGGAATTCAAATCATTAGGCACAGCAACAAGTGTTTCTCATTAATCAAACCAGACTCAATACAATTGTTTCCATTTTCATACTGGCTTCGGATTATATTTTCATGTACACACAGTGTTCCCTTTGCATGATTGGCTACAAATTTAATTTTCTTTCTCTAGTTTTAAGTACTGAACCCAAAACCTAATATGTATTTGGAAAACATTCTATCTTTGAGCTATGTCCCCATAGTTTTGACTGAGCTGGATGCTCACTTTTCTTGACTTCCTCTCCAAATTCACTTAGTCTGTTTCCTACCTTCCCTCCTCGGTAGGAAAAGATTGCTCAGGTGCGCTGGGACCTGATGATGAAGACGAAGGAGCATACCAAAAAGCTTCACCAGATGAACGACCTGTGCCTGCAGAAGAAGAAACTTGATTCCAGGTTGAACACACTCCAGAACCAGCAGGTGAGTTCCTGTCCTCCTGGCCCTCTGCAGAATCCAAAGCCCGGCAAAGCGCTGGCATTTAAACAGACTTTGAGCTGCCAGGCCATCTGTCCCTGGATACTGACTATTAGCCACATTGGAGCGACTTCCAGAGGGGACAGGTTTTATCAAATTCCTCTTGTGTGCCACGAGCACATATGAGTAATCACCAATATACTTAGTCTTGGAGAGTAAGGTACACAGGCACAAATAATGACACCAGTGCACCCCCTGATTTTGGTTGGTGTCAGGGTCCATTTTCAGTGTTTGTTTTACTTGACAGGAAGTGGGCACCTCGAATGCTTGCTAGTTTATTTTATTTTTTCTTTTGAGGGTTTCAACTTGTCATTATGGAATCCAAATTGAGCCTGAGAATGTACTTACTACAGAGTGATGGGTTCTCAAGTAACTTCTATAGGGTCTGCAAGACATCAGTCGTCTTTCTTAGTCCCTCGCCCCCTCCCCCCATTTGTATTTCCTTTAAGAATCTTGGAAATAATTTAAACGAGGTGTTTTCAAATTACGCCCCCCCCCCCCCAAGGAACAACAGCTGGGAACTTATTTGTAATCGGCTGGGAACTTATTCTCAATGTAAAATAAGAACACAGGCAGAGAAAACCATAGGCCACAAGGTGGCGCACGGGAGCTGACATGTTTTTTACTGTAAGTGACGTTAATACAGTCTTATTTGTAAGATTACCGAGTGTCACCAGCTTTCAGATAGAATGAAGAAAGGCGATGTCCTAAGGTCCCATGTTTGTCGACTTTATGCAGAGCTTCAGAGAAGATTCTAATTGTGCTAGAGTCTTTGACTCTCAGCTGGTGAGAGGCTTCGGCTAGACTCCAGTGTGAAGGGCTCTTCTCCTATCTTAGGTCCCCCTAACTTGTCTTTGTACCTTACCTGGATCCCAGTGATGAGCCTCCAAGTCGAGAAGGATGGATAGATAGTTTAAACTACTTCCGAAGCAAGGTTGAATTTCAAAAGTTGTTCAAAGGCACACATTTTAAGCGTGAGGCTTCAGTGGATGAGTAAAAAGTCTCTGGAAGAGGCAGTTGCTGTTTAAATAGGCTGTAAGAGAGGTGGTTTGTTTGTTTGTTTGTTTGTTTGTTTGTTTGTTTGTTAATTTTTATTTTTCCCCAAATAGGTAAATGCCTTCCAGGGCCCTCGGAAAGCAGATATAGTGGCAAAGCAGAAGGTCACCGAACTGGTCCAAACCCAGTCAGAAAAGATTACGGCGTTAAAGGAAGAGATTGCGCTTTTGCGGAAGAAGGGGGGGCTTATCCTCCCTCCCATCACAGCCATGCAAGAGAACGAAATGAAGCCCACGGACTCTTAAGATTGCTGTCTTCTCATTTCTACCCAAGAAGTTCAGTGAAATTCACCAATCTGCTTCCCCGTCACCCACAACCCTCTTGCTTTAAAGTGAACCATAGTGAGAACTTAAAAACAGGATCCTGCCCTGTGACTTAACAATATTCCCCAGGTTAGAAGTCACTGTGACACTGACATGTACTTATTACTGTGCTGAGACAAGTTCAATGGTTTCACCCTGAGTTGAATATGAGGAAGGCTGAATCTCGTAGTTGCAAGAAAGCAGCTGTTAGATAGGTTTTCAGAAAAATAATCTGTTTCTCTGGTATTCTGAATATGTAGCCATTGGCAGGAAAAACTATTATTCAGCAACCCATAAGAAAACTTCCTTTTCTTAGTCCTTGGATATTTAGAAAATAAACTGTTTGTGTTAAATAGTCTGTGAAAGGACATAAGAGAAAAAAAAGCAAACCATCCTGCCAATAATAACTTAGAATAAGAAATGCAAATGCGAACGTTGCTATTGTTGACTTCATAAAGCAGTTGAGGGCTCGAGACTGAGGAAGTGCAGACAGACGCATCGAAAACAGCTTGCCTTGGGTTGGCAGAGGTGGCTTCCTGATTTACCCAGTTTCTGAAAACTCAATTCTGTGGTTCACATTTTCCAAAACAAGTCAGTCAGGGAAGCTTTGCTCTAGCTAGGTTGTCTGCGACTCCATCAAAATTCTACGTTCAATCAGGCTTGACCTGAGTCTTTACTGGTTCTGATCCAGACAAGAGATGAAATCGATTTTCATCTCTCCGGGGTACTAACTCTTAATAGTCACTTTTGACTATGTGTGACATTTTAAACTCAAGAGTGTAGTTTCCAGCTCAGGAAAGGGTTTATTGAAATTCATGGCTGTACCCCTCACAGATTGATCTCCCTGACACTTGGTGTCCTTCCAGTAGTGACACTTTTGCTTCCCAGGTGGATTGTTTGCACTGGTACCAGAAACCTCTGCTGTGGCAGAGGCTGTGCCAGTGAGACCTTATGAGTTTCTGTACTGCACATCTGAGAACACGGTTGCCAGCGACGCAAACAGACACTTCTGTGCCTTTCCACACACAGTGTCAGAATGTATGGACCAATAATGTAGTCACAAGGCGCATCAGGTTTATCGGTTGCGATTTACGGGGTAGTCTCAATTTCCCCCACAGCTGGCTATTGGTATTTGTAGCCTTTGACTACATTCTTGATCACATATATTAGAGCTCAGACAACATTTCACACAGTAAAATGCCACCTTTGTGAGCACATGTGTCTACACACAGCTACAAAGAGGCCACAGAGCTCAGAGAGGCCTTACCAGAGGCAGCAAGGAAGCTGACAGAGATGCGGAGTCATTTAAAATGGTTAGATACTATAGGGGCCAGTTGGAAGCCAAGCCCAGGTGAACAAGCCCAGTTAGCTATCTGGAAGAAAGACTGGAGTTTGACCCTAGCAGCAAAAAAAAAAAATGCTGGACTTTTGATGCAAGGCTCAGGGCTGGGTCCAAATGAACCAATGGCAGCGTCATAGTAGAAGCCTCTAGAATGCTTTGTATATCTGTAATCTCTGGTACACTCTCTGGGGGTCAGATGACTGGCAAAAGGCTGTTTCCTCACAGTGTTAGATGACCTTCTTTTTATGGTGTCCAGATGAGGGTTGAAGTGTATTTGGTATGTTCTTGGGCCTGTTTTTTTTTTCTGATATAATTCTAACACATCCATGTAACTGCATGTTCCCTGTTTACTTTGGTAAGTTGGTATGTAGTACTGTTTTACTTGAAAGAATAACCTAACCCTAGCCCATGATTCATGCTGGACATGGTAGTAGTGTCTGTGCATACAAACACAGTATGAAGATACCGCCTCTGGATTTGTACTGCTCTTGTAATGGGGGGCAGAGTAAGGGCAAGGCCACTCAAAAAGCAATCAGCCATTGCTTCATACGTTATGGAGTGAAGTAACCTGCTCTCTACACTCGGCTATGCATGCCTTTCATTAATGAAAGCAAACAGCTGCTAATCATAGCCTTCATTGCTCATTAATGCGTAAAACGTTGCCTGAAAACTTAGCTTTAAAAATGCATTATTGCACCAGAGGTTAGAGGTTTGTGGGGCTCAGGCATCTGGTAGCAGACTTGGCAAATGGGATCCTAGGAAGCCTGGCCAACTCCTTCAGCATCTTACCATTCCAGAAGAGTACAGGAAGCAGGTTGTCTATATGTTGCATTTAGTGGTGTTCACCAAAACCCACTTTGACAAAATTACGTTAGATCATGGAGATTAGGCTTTTTTTAAAAAAAACAAACTTCCAACAGTCTGTCCAGTGAACTATAGCTCAGACTTGAGCTGCATAAACAAAGACTGCAAACATTAACTCTGCCCATTCATCTCCTGGAAGTCACCTGAAGTCTTCAATCTCCGTGTTTGAAACCACATACCTTACTTCTTCTCTTCCAGAACTAGACCTCACACTCTGATAACTTCCACATTCCTTACACTTATTTCTATAAATACTTTAAAAGCACCGCCTTCCTGAAAATCATGCTGCTTTTTGAGGACAGTTCTTGTTCAGATTAGCTGCCTTTGTAAAAAATGGTTGCAAGTCTACAGACAGCTAGATGCAGTACTCCTTCAGGCCAGCAGATGGTGGACTCATCCCAGCTAACCTGAAGGCGGCCCCCCACAGTCTGTCTTAGATCCTGTTTCTCAAATTCTTGGAGTAAGAGCAGTCTGATACAACTCTTAATAAGATTAAATGTGTCGGGATGAATTTCAACTCTTCATTTTTCCTGAAATAATCTCTCCCCACACAATGAATACTCAATGTGTGAAGACTTGCATAAAAATTTTTAGTTTCCAGTTTAGTCTAGGGCCACACATAAAAGTTTTAAGGACACACACACACAAACAAACACACACTCCTATGGATGGTCTTCTTGTAGAACAACACTAAATGTTGGTTTGAACTGCCTCAACTCCTTCAGCAATGGTAACTTTAGAATGAAGGGAACCTCGTAGGGACCCCATGTCAACAGGTAGCACAGCACTACGCTAAATGATGTTTTGGAGGCAATATGTGGTCTTTTAACACACATACCTACACAAGAAGAATGAACTTCAGGCCTTCAATATGGCAGATGCTCACCTCCAGTCCAGCAAGAGAACAATGAATTTGCTTTCCGTCTGTGAATTCCTTCTTGGAGTAAACAGTTTGTAATGTCATGTTACATGAATCCAAACTCAGCGTTCATTGTTTAAAACGACAAAAAATATGAAAAACATCTGCTACTGTTTCCAGATTTTTATCACTTGATGGATTGGAAATTGTCTTGAGCAGTTCTTTTCTCCAGCTACTCAAAGACGGGACTCGCAACATCTAAAGAAAATGCTGACTCATGCATGACTAAGATGAAGGTTACAAGGAAGACTAAACATTTATTTAGAAGTTACAGTGTTTGTTTTTACAGAGATATGTTGCCACCGATTATTGATTCTGGGAGGTTGTTAATGCTCAGAGTGTTGTACACATCTGGGGCTTTTCTCATGGCATCTTGGAAACCTGTGCTGTGTCACCAAATCTGAGTGGCTTCTGGGTGGCTCCAGTCTGCAGCACTGTGGCCTTTGCTTTATCCTTTGTGCTCCTCAAGAACAGTGTGCTTAGGGTCCTTCTGCCAACTCCCCTGAGGGTTTCCTGGAGCCCCTGGTAGCTGCAGGTTCTGTGTCTATCCGTAGCCTAACCATCTATGATACTCATTTCCACTGGCCTCCAGTTACTCAGCCTCTTGTTTTCTGCCTTGTGCCAGAAAGGGGAGAATTCCATATCTCTCCAGAATTATAGAAACACATATACATTTATTTACAAGTGCATAAATATATAAATATGGCTATAATAGAAAAATAAATACCAATTTTTCTCTGTCGACAAACAAACAAACAAACAATATATAGTCTTTCTGGGATATTGGCTTAAGCCTAAATTGTGGGAGGTGGTGTTTCAAAGGACACGTGAACTGATGGGCTGGGAGAGAGACGCATCCCAAGTTCTTGTCCTGTGTAGGTTCCCAAAGAGTGCTGGGGACACCAGTCTCCTCCACCTATTTGGCAGGAGTCAGAACTGTCAACTTCTTCAACTGGTACAAGACCTAAACAGCACCGGGGACCTGTGAAGGGAAAAAAGTAGGCGACATTAAAATCTAGACTCACCAAACAGTCCTGAGCTAATCTCTACCTATAACTGGTCACACTGGCCCTGGAAGGGGAGGACCCTTACTAATCACCTGTGTTGGGACCAAAGACCTTGGACTGGACTGTAAAGCACTCAGTTTGTAGCCATCACCTATATACACATAAAACACAAAGGGAGGCCCAGTTCTCTCTAGCCAGGCGGTGTTCTACCTCACGATCCATTCCCCTTGTCCAACCAAATCTTGTTTTCATGATTGATTTGGCTCTGGATCTTTTAGAATTTCATGTCCTAGGGACAGGATCCAGGTCATCATGGCAGGGGCATGTCCACCCTGAAGCTAAGAAACACCAACTAATCCTCTGAAGTACCAAGTGCCCCAACTAAGTCCTTGTGGATTTGCTTGAGGTAGGTTTAGAGGGAGCTATGGGCAGGGGTGGCCCTTGACAAGTTCTGTGGGCATACACAGTTACAGTGGTGACATGTGTACAAGCAGGGCTCCCTGATGGCTAAGACCCACTCCCTAATTAAGGCACAACAGAGCAGGGGGTCAGAGAGGCCTCTGTGTTATGAGAGGCAGAAAAACTCTGTGAATGGCCTTGAATCTCAAATTCAGAGACCAAACAGGCTTCTTCCTTTGGAATAGTTACAGTGTTGGAGTCAGACTGACCTGGGTAGGCCTCACGGCCTTCTAGGCCTTTAGTAGCAAATGAGTGGCCATCCACCCCAACTCCCAAACACTCCCTCAAGGAAGTCCCTTGTCCTTGAAGGCATTGCAGGGTTATGGGGGACCCCATCAGACAAGTTCTCCCTGCTGCCCCTGGCTGACCTGAATGATACGGAGGGTCCCATGAAGCTTCTAGTCCTGGACCTTCAGGTGCCCTCCTCATTGCTGTCTGGCATGTGGTGACAGGTTGCTTCTGGAGGTGACAGCAATCTTGAGGTTGGAGCAGCTGGTGAGTTGAGTGATCAGGCAGCGTGTATAAGAAAGAACCTTCTTCTGAGCCAGACTTGGGACCTCTGCAATGTACAAGACCAGATGGGGTGGGTTAGGTCAAGCAGAACGGGCCTGAATTTTCACGACCTGACACCTACCATCTAAAGGTACCAGAACAGGCCCAAAGCACACACTGTTGCCCTGTGAACATTGGGGAGGTGCCACACCAAGTTCAGCCTGTGACAGTTCAGCTTTATTGTGGGAGGTGGCGAACTGGGTGTTCAGGGGCCTGTAGGCAAATCTGGTTCTACCTGAAGGGTTTTTTTTTTTTTTTTTTTTTTAAAGATTTATTTATTTTATATATGTAAGTACATTGTCGCTGTCTTCAGACACACCAGAAGAGGGCATCTGAACCCATTACAGATGGCTGTGAGCCACCATGTGGTTGCTGGGAACTGAACTCAGGACCTCTGGAAGAGCAGTCAGTGCTCTTAACCTCTGAGCCATCTCTCCAGCCCTACCTGAAGGGTTTTTGTGAGCCACTGAGTGACAGATGCTGAGAAACAACTGAAGCCCCTAAGCAGAAGAGCATCATAACTGTGCACATAGCACCTTGCCCATGGGATACCTGCCCCATCGAGCACAAATGGCAAACTTGGGGATCCCTGTATGGAATGCTGCTTGGCTCTGGGTGACACAGTTTGGACATGAGCTAAAGGGAATGGGAGGTTTGGAGACTTGAGAATAAAAGCAGGAATGGGAGGGGCCTGGTTACCTGGCAACCTGCTGGTTCTGGAGGTCATATCCATTGCTAACAATGGGCTGCCTCAGGAGGCTGTTGGTGTCTTCCTGCTGCTTGAAGAAAAGAGTGAAAAGTCAAGAGGGGAGCCCAAGGAACTTTCCAGTGCTCCCCGTTGAGCAGGATGAGCTGTGGTTGACTATAGGGAGCTCAGCCCAGCAGCTGCAGATGAACCAGGGGAATGCCCAAGAGGCAGCTCACTGTCCCTCTGTATGTGCACCTGGGACCGACACTCAGGAACCCTTTACCTGTGCAAGCTCCCCTGGGCAGTGCTGCTGAGGCTTCCTGACTGGGCAGCCCACTGTAGCAGCAGGGCAGCCCCTGCTTCCGTGCAGTCGGCTAAAACAGGCCCGTCCACTGACGCCACTGAGGTAGGGCTGTCCATTGGCCTGGTGACCTGGAAGTCCCCCCAGTGGCACCATTGTGTACTGGCAGGAGGATGACAGGAGGGTACTCCGCGGAAACCCCAGATCTGTTGTATGTTCTGGAAAAACAGAAGAGAGAGGTCTACTTAGCCTCCTACAGCTGGATAAGGCCCACAGTGTCAGAGAGACAGGCAAGGAGGTGACTGTCCAATAGCCTGAGAATACTCTTTCTAAGTCTTCCTATCATCCATTTCTTCTTTAATGTGAGAAGCATAGAAAGACAATGGGCCAATGGCTTCCCAAGCGGTGATGAGTGAAAGGGCCATTGTTTAGTAGGGGAGTCAGCTGCAGATACTGCTATTTGAAGCAGAAACTAACAGGAAAGTCAGGTTAGCCCAGGAGGAAGGGAAGGATCAAGGCTGCCCCCACTGGACAGAAGAGCAGAAAACGGGGTGAGGCAGGAGCAATATGTATATGAACATGTTTGAGAAATCACTTCAGACATTAGAAAAAGATGGAGAAAAAGATAATTACCAAGCACCAGGGGTATGAATGGACACTTGCTCTCTAGAGAGGTGAATGAGGCCGGAGGAAGGAGCCTAGCCTCAGATATTCACTGTTCTGTGGGTCCTTTGGGGCCATCTGAACCTGGTACCTTGAGCTCCCAAGGAGGTGGAGCTGGACCATCTGGCCCAACCTGGGTACTGGCCTGCTTGGTGGGCTGAGGGACGTCTCTCCCTCCTTCCCCGCTGTGCGGAGGCGTTACTCACTCTGCTTAGACCAGGCCCTCCATAGGCAGAAGGGGATGAAGGTGACGATAAGGAGGACTATAGAGCCCAGAACAACCCCGACAATCAGATAGGGCAGGTCGCTGGCCCGTGCCACCATGGCTCCAGTGCCCACCGGCCGCTCCATGGTCTCTAGGGGTGGAGGCTGTGGTGGAGGCAGAGTTAAGGGTGGAGGTCTTCCAGGCTGACCAGAAAATTTCCGAGCTGCAATTGAAGACAAAACTCACATTAGTATCTATTTTTCTGTCATTTTTGTTTTTTGTTTTTTGTTTTTTTACAACAAATAGAAAAACAAAACGCTTCGATTCCGTGGACACAGGAAATGGGGTCTAGATCCCAAGATGGTGGGGGGGATACTCAATATCCCTTATTTGAATTGTGTCCATAACTTATCAGGGACACACTGGTACCTAATGTGCAATGTGCTGTTGAGGTGTTTGTGAGCCAAAGACTGAGAGTGGACATAGGTAATCATGGTTTCTGAAAGAATAAAAATGTGTGAGAGTGGTGAACGAACTCAGGTGGAAGAACTTTCCCACAGCTTAGTCATTCCTGGGTAGATGAAGGGATTGGAAGTGCTAGGTATTCACTTGGGTTGTAATGCAGGGCCCCTGGAGACTCTGTGGGACAGAAGACAAGTGGTAAATTTGAATCAAAGGTAGAATGTTAAACCCTATGTTCCTCATTGAGGTCTGCTACTGCAGGTGAACCTGCATGGACTCTGCCACTTTCTTCTTTTAGCTGTCTGATGTTACAACCTCCCGACCCACCATCCCCCATCATCCTTCTGCCTCCTCAGATCCTGGGCATCAGATCCTCTCAGTCTGTGTAACCTCTCCTGCTTCCATGATTCCCTCTATGTCCTAAGGACTGCGGAGGCAGGAGACAGTCTGCTTTTAACGGACACTTTCAGCATCCCCAAAGATTTAGCCACTGGGAAACTCTCCCAGTCCTTTTCTCCTCCCACTCCTCATGGTCCATTTCTTTTCTCACCCTATCTATCACCATAGAGGGTAGCAGCTGCCTGGACATTGTTTCAAGTGAAAACCTCAAGCTTGCTTTATATCTTCCAACCCAGCATGCAATCGGCCCAGGTCCTGCTCACATCTCCTCAAAAGTAATGACAAAACCATTCTCTTCACTTTTGTCTCAGAGCTTTGGTTCTCTCCCCTCAGCCTGCCTGGGACCATTATTATAAAGAAGCCCAACAAGGACCTCTTCCATCTCACAGTCCCTGAAAACTGCACTACGTTCTCCTCCAGCATCCTTCAGTGACCCAGTGATGCCAGTGTTTCTGGCCTCTTCCCTGAGCTGCACTCTTCTTCTCCTCCCATCTGGAGCCACTTTTTAGGCTCAGCATGTCCTTCAGGGTATTCTCTCCTCATTCCAGCTTAGAGAGTTAGTCCAAAGACCTGAGGAGACAGATGCATTTGGGCTGTGTGCACATCTGTCCCTCCCTTCTATGGACGTGGCACCGAGGACAAGTGTATACAGTAGGTGCTCAGTGAGTCTTTGTGAAATGACTGAAAGCAAGGCATGGTGGGAGAGAGAACACAGTTACCTCAGGCACAGGGGAGTGTTGTTTTCTCTGACTCCTTTGTGATCCTATGATTAGGGCTTTAGTAATACACTACTCCATCTCATTTTGAGTATTTAAAAACCGGATACAATGATGCTCACGCACCTGAACAATGTGCACATATGAACAAGTGCACATGTGTACGTTTAATATGCTTTTGTGCAGAAAACAAAGCTGGGCTTGTAGCTATATGAAACTGTCTGAAGCAGCTTCTACCACATCATGGCTATAAAACTTTGGCCAAGGTGTAGATATAATAAGTTTCCTGAGGCTCAGATTTCCTTCCCATATTACCAGGCTACAGTTAAATTAAATAAAATCAAGCAATATAGATACCAAATGCCAAGAAATATAGAGTGCATAGAACACTTCCATCTTAAGATGAGTTCATGGATCAATTAATTCTCAAGTTCTTGAAGCCAACATGGTGGCAACCTACTCGTACTAGCACACAGCTCAAGAGAATAAGAAGGGAGGCAATTGATGAGGTCAGGGATCCTTGAAAAATCAGGGTCTTCTTGGAAGTGATACCAGTGTGAGTGGGAGGGAGACTCTGCTCCAGTCTGTGGGAATTGCTGGGACAGAAGAGGACCCTGGAAGAATCACCTTTGGTCTCGCAGATCATGACATTGCTGAACTCGCTCTCCCCTCCTTCGTTGAAGCACTGCATCTTGATGTCATAGGAAGTCTCTGGCTGCAGGTGACTGATGGAGTGCCAGTACCTATCCCCTGGGAAGGACAGTGAGAGTCACCATGGTGACCTATATATTGTTTGCTTAGCCTTGATCACACAGTCAGACAAATCTGTTTGTCTAAGCTAGTGCTGCTGACCAACACAAGAGACACATGAGGGAATTATCTGCATGGCCACCCATGTTTCTGTTGTGCCATGGTCATTAAGAAGCATGTTGAGCCTTTTAACTGGATAGCTCCATGTATCAGAAGGAACTCACTACACTGAACATAGACTCCATTTTATGATTCATGAGGCTGTGCCAACACCCAGACCTTCTTGCCAGTTAAGGAAACCCCATCAACGCATCTTCTCACCTTCCACCATGTCCTTCTTGTAATCGCTGTCATTGTCACTGTCTGTGGGTCGGTAGTAGATATAGAAGCCATGGATTGGGGTGTTGTTGTTGCTGGCAGGGATATACTACATGGAATAGAGAACAGACATGGTCACAGTGCATCAGAGAAATCGTCAAAGTAAAACCACCAGGCTGTGGAATCTCTTCCCCAGTCCAGAGTTTGAACTTCATGGAGGCCCCAGCAAACATTCCTGAATAAGTCCCTCTGGCTCTCTGAAGAAGGCTGCAGAGATCAGGCATTATTTTATTTTGCTAATGGGCCCTGGAGCTTTTAGGAGCAAGAAACAAATTGTACTTCTTCAAAGACTTTGATCCTTTCTGAGCCTCTCTAAAAGTATGAAGGGACACTGGACAAGTGTTGAGATTCCCTACAGTATCAGATGAAAAGAAGGAGGGAAAGTAAGATGCAATCGGAAAGCGGGAACCAGTTTAAAACAACAGCCAACAATAGTTCCAGCTACCATCACCCTCCCAGGACCCCCAAAGGGGCTGTCAGGTTCACTAAGTGGGAAGCCAAACTCATAGACAAGTGTGAGGAGAAACATTTCCACACTGTTGGTGGCCAGGCCACTTACCATCCACTTGAGCATAATGGTGGTCTCATTGACTGCATCAGTGAAGGTGATGTAAGGTCCTGCCACTGGCCTCTCATACACACGGCCACTATAGCCTGACACCACATAGGGTCGTGAGGGAGCACTGGGCTCACTCTCCCCTAGCATGTTCAAAGCACGGACTCGGAACTTGTAAGAAATACCTGTGAGAGAGATCCTTCTTGAGCTTGGGAAATATAGCTGATTTCCCACAATGCCCTTAAAAGCCCAGCCTAGGGATATCTGGTCAGCTTTTCCCCAAAGATGTCCACACAGGACCCATAAGAACCCTCATAGTCCTCAAGCCACACAGGAAGTGGCTCTGGACTCCTCTTTGGAGAGAGGAAGGAGGAGGAGCTGTGGGGCTGAGGCAGAGCCACAAATTCCATACCCATTAGTACTTGTGGGAAATGAAGGGAGGACTGAATTAAAAAAGACCTTCCACTGTTCCTCCTACTCCATGTGGTCCCAGGGCAGAAAGGACAAGGAAGAGGCCCAGGCTCCTACCTTTCTCCAGGCCTGTGATCTCCACAGAGAGCCTCGAGGGAGGTATGGCACTGGTGGCCAGTATCCAATCTCCCACTTTTTTTAGCTTCTTGTACTCTACTCGGAAAGACTGAATTGGGAAGCCGCCGTTTCCTCGGGGAATCCAGGTTACATACACTGAGGTCTCAGAAGCTGTGGAGATGGTGGGTCTGTCTGGAGCTTCTGGGGCTAGAATGACCATGCACAGAGGAAAGACATAGACAAACAGGGACACCATGAGATGATGCTCTGGACCAACTAGACCCGACCTGAGCCTGACAAGGCCTGTTCCTTGTCACTGATATATTTATCCTCTGTCCACTGATATATTTATCATATAAATATATGATAAATATATATATATATATACATATATATATATATATATACATATAATGTAAATATAAATATTCTCCCATCGCATGGGAGAATTCCTGGAGCTAAAAATTCCTCTTCTACTCTTCTGCAAAATTAGAGGGTAGAGAATCACTGCTCTCTGTCTGGACCCACAGACTCAGTAATTCCAGTATTTTCTCCAAAGGCTCCAATGTGTATATTTTCATTGTGGTTCACTAAAGAGATGCAGAATATGTCACTGGGACTCTTGGACCTCAGAACCCTAACCTCATTTAACCTGCAGCAACAAGCCCTCTGTGACAGTTTGTCCTGACTGCTCACTGCCTGTCCCTCACTGCTGCTGGGCTTACGGGAGAGGCGGCCATGGTCAGGCTGGCTGCTGCTCTGGAGACTGGCACCAGGGTCATCTCTCTGGATCTGCTGCTCCTTGCTGGCCACGATCTCAGGTTTGGGCCGCCGTCCTGGGTGAGAAGGATTGAGAACAAGAGAGAGAACATATAAGCCCTCCCTTACCAAAATCCTGCTTCGCCTAAGAATCTGACAAGGGCTGCAGCAAGGTAATACAAATAAGATTTCAGGATACTGAAAGTGTGGTGTAAATCCCAGCGTTGGCCAACTCTACTATTGTGTTGCTATTGGTCCCTGTGCATAGCAGGCAGGGGAGATGCCACAGAGGTTCATCACTCTTATGAAGAAAGATAGTTTAGCCCAGGCACATAAGTCTACAGAGACAGGCACTGGAGAAGGACAGAGATGAATGAAGTGAACAAGAATTTGCACCTGGCCTCACTATAACTTGTTCAGGCCTTTGGAACTCTGAACTAGGCAAAATATTTGACTTTACCTGTTCGGAAGGTGACCATGGCCGTCTGGCCCTCGCCAGCACAGTTGTAGGCTGCCATCTCCACTTCGTATAAGCTCCCAGGGTCAAGCCTTGTCAATGTGAGGCGGTGCTGGTTGGCTGGAATGCCACAAATGGTCCAGTCATCAGAGGAGTTCGTGACCTGCTGAAGAAGGTGACTGGGGTAAGGACCTGCCTCTGCTGTAGTGTCCAGGAGGCTTTCAGCCTGAGCCCAAGATGGCAGGAAGAGAGAAAAAGTACCATGGGCTAGGTTGAGGGCTGGTGGGACTGCAGAGCTCAGACTGGTTCTCCTGTTCTCTAAGGTAATGATTCCATCAAGGGAAATTTGCAAAGATAGCTAGAAAGCCAGACTGATACTGCTGGCAAGTCCCTCAAAGGCCACTCCTTCATCTCCTGCAACCTGCCCATCTAATGTTCTCTCTGTTTGCATACGGAGCCAAACCCGAGTCCTTCAGTCCATATCCTAATGAGAGACAATGACGAGAATGATGACAAAAGCTGAAGCAATGGAAAGATGGCCATAGAGTACTCACTCTCAGTGCACCATCTGCCCCCAGTCTCAGCAGTCAGTATTCACAAGCAGAGCCTTAGCCCAGAGAGATGAGAACTGCAGAGATAGTGAGCACAGAAACCCTCACTTGAGTCCAAAGAACATGCTTAGAGTGTTACCTGTTCTAGACAGAGGACTCTGGGAGTGGAAAACTCCGAGTTCAAGTTCTGACTATATAATCCCAAGCAAACTCCCACACTGGTGAGCCCTGAGCCATTCATTCTAAGATGGGGCGAAGTACAATGCCTTGGGTTACTCTGAAGTCAAATTAGATGACTTGGCACAGGTGAGGTTCCCAACAAATGAATGCCTGGCCTGTCTCCTGACGCTCTTGGCACCCTTCACCCTGTGAGATTTCTCACTTTAAAATTCTTTCCCTGTTTCTGCTCCCTGTCCTTGTTTTTGAAGCTTAAAAACAGTGTGTGTGTGAAGGATTATAAATGAACTTTTAATGGTTAGCTCTCTAAAAAAAAATATTTATGGGAGGGCTCCAGGCACCCAGAGGCAATGGTGAGAGATTATTTCCTCCCACCCACCATCTTTTAAGAAGGACTTTGTGGCCAGCTCTGAGCATCTCAGAAAGCCTGCCAGAATGGAGAGCTGAGGTTTGATTAAGAAAGCGACCAGCTGCTGGGGAAAGCTCTTATCCCTAAGCAAAGTATTCCCAAGTAGAACAAAACCTCCCATTCAAGGCAAGGGGATGGTCTGAGCTCATTAATATCGGGCTTCCAGGACTTGTTCCAAGGGGAAAGGTTTTCACAAGCTGAGAATCCCCAGTGATGCTGGAAACCCAAACACAGTAGCCTGGGTCTACAGTGGACTAGATGAAACTTGCTTTGTGCACGTGAATATCAGCCTAACTAATTCCCAATGCCCTGCAAAAGACAGAGTGTGAAAAAAAAGAAAGAAAGAAAGAAAAGTAAACCCACAACCCAATGCTGACTTCTGATTCCAACCTTCTTTCTTGGGTGACGACCATTAAGCTATGTTAGTTCCATGAGCAAGAACAGCTTTCAAGACATATTTTCTGTCTTGGCAACATTCACTTAAAAGCTCCAACTGTTCCACAGGGCCATGCCTAATGGAAGCCAGACTCAGCAGGGCCTCCGTCCTGACTGTCATTTTCCTGTACCTCCTCCTCCCTCTGCCCTCCCAGCACTGGGCTCAGACTTCCACTGGGACCCAGAAATGAAAATAAGAAATGCAAGGGTAATTAGTCACTGTCACACACACTGGGAGGGGGAACGAAACATCAGCTTGGTATTTCCGGATTACCCCAGTGCGGTCTTTGCCTGCTTGCCTGTAGTAGGAGGTAGCTTCAGGGCCACCTATTGGCCTGAAAAATATTATTCTTACTATCACACTGGTTTCTGTCTCTTGAGTACCATATTTGGCCTTCCCTGATCTTTGTCTACAACTCACAGAGAAGTGTCTAGTTACACAAGAAAATAAGCCCTGCCCTAGAACACAGGCTAAACAAGGCTGTTTCTTTTCAGAAAGCCATTCACACCTTTAGCTGGTCCTGGGGGTGGGATGGAGGAGGGAACTGTGGTCTCCCCATGCCTACATGGGAAACTATATGAAGATACAGGATGCTGCTCTGCCTCTGGTACTTTCTGACCACCTGAGGTCGCTGGGAACTTCTTTGGTTCCCAGGTCTTCTGGAAGAGCAAGACACAGTAAAGGCCAGACTATGAGAGGCCAGTGGTGTTTGTAGCAGGCACCTGGGTTGTGCAGAGCTAGAACATTCCACTGTGTGAGGGGAGTCCTGTTTTCTTGTTTGCTTTTGGAGTAGGAAAAGGTGGGTAAATATTTTTAGTTCCATTTCACATTTCCATATTTTCTACCAAGTGCACAAAGCATTTTTATAAGCAAGAGTAATGCAAACACACATAAGCACCGCATTTAGAATAGGTTGCTGGCATTAAATTTTTTAATCCACTTTAAGACCAGTACTTTTCTACTCTCTGGCGGTATTGGAAAGAAACAGCGCGAATAGTGGTGAACAGAAGTGTTTTGTGAGGAATCTCTTCTCATCATTCTTGTGCAGCTTTGAGGAGAGTGGCAGATGAAAGGCCCTGGTCCACCTCACCAAACAGTGGTCAGGACCGTGGGACGGGCACAGCTCTGTGTCTGCATCCTGTCATAGTCTAAAAGGCTCTCCTGATAGCTCCTACAACCCTTGGACAGGGTCCCTCTGTTGAGGGAAAAATAGCTAGGGTCTCAACAATATGATGTCAGGAGCTCTGGTTAAACAGAGCTACCACAGCATCTGAGAATCGGAGGGCACTTTACAGCCCACAGGGAGAACACTTGTTCCTAAATACTTGTTTTCCTGGCTGGAGAGACCTGTTTGTCCTGCTAAAGTTCTCACAGGGCTTAAGAGAGACCTTGCTTTGGTTGGAAAACAAATTCAAATAGTGTCATCAAAATATGATGGGGGAGTGGGGAGGGTAGCCATAGTAATGGAGGGGGGGTGAGTTATCTCTGGACTTTGAGTTGGCACAAACATCCAGGTAAGACTACACAAAGGTTACACCTGAGGGCTCATGCAGAGCTTCTGCCTGGGCCTGTGAGAGATCACCTACCCGTATTACCGCTAGCTTTCCAAGCGGTGGTAGGGAGGAGCATTTGAGGAAAGGAAGGGCATGGCCGTGGAGCATACTGGGCCCTGGCTTCAGGCAAGCAGACAGAGCAACTCGATTCTGCTTCACTAAGAAGCTTGCAGGGAGGGAGAGGCACAGTGCCACGGTCATACCTTACGATGCTTCACTACGTAGTACAGTATGGGTGCCCGGCTGTTGCCCTCATGGCGAGGCCTCCACACCAGCTCGTACGAATCCGTCTTGGAGGTCCGGGGTGAGCTGAGGATGATAGGCGCCTCAGCAGGGGCTCCCTGCTCTTCTCCCAGGCACGTCAGGGAAGTAGGCTGTACTGACGTGGGCGGCTTAACAAGCCCCGGTTGTTCCCGAAGCATCTGGTCAGGTCTGCTGGGTCTGGAGGGTGGCATGGGAGGTGTGGCAGCAATCGGCTTAGTGTTCCTCCCAGGTCTCAGGGTTGTGTCTGAGGACCAAGCAGGAAAGAGAAGGGAAGGGGGAAGGTGTTAGTGGCCCTGATCACCTGCCAGGGAGAAAACAGAATAAAATCAGAGAAGACCTGAGACCACCATGAGCCCAATCTGTGACACACAACCAGGCTCTGAAGAAGAGACGGCTGGTGCCCTCATCCTGCCAGATGGGAAAGGAGGCCTTTGCATGATACTGAGGTTTATATTTAAATTTTTATTGCATTTTATTCAGTGTGTTTGTGTGTGTGTGTGTGGTGTGTGCCTTCCACAGTGTGAGTGTGGGTGTCCTGGGGCACAGCAGGAAGCACTTTCACCTGCTGAAGCATCTCATTGGCACTGATGTGATGGTTTAAAAACCAAATGTCCCCCCCTAGACATTGTCCCCTGATTGGTCCCCAGCTGCTAGTGCAATTTGGGGTGGGGGGAGAGGAAGTAGGCCACAGGGGCATAGTTTTGAATGTTATCTTTCCCTTCGGTCTCCTCTTCCCCATTTTCTATCTGCTATATAGTTCCTGTCACAGAAACTGCCATGAAGTTCTCCTTCACTATGGGCCCAGACTCAGTGGAGCTACAGCTCTGCCCTGAAACCTCTGAATTCAAGAACCAAAGCAAGATTCCTTCCCTTCAAGCTGTTTTCTCCTTTGAAGTTATTTTATTTGTGCTGGAAAAAGTGACGAGCCCAGAAAATTGGCACCAGGGAAGTGTGACGGATGCTGTAAGTAAATCTGTCATGCGGTTCTGCTGCCTTCAGGGCTGATTTATAGGAGGGGGTGGTTTAGAATGGATTTGAGTGCTAAAGGATCTGCAGAGTACTGTCGGCAGAACATGATGAGGTTCGGGGGAGCTCAGAAGAACAGGATGCTGATAAGGATGACAGGGAGGATATACTTGGGACTTATGGAAGAACAGGAACTCTGCTAGGAATCGGACTAGAAGTCACGCAAGTGACACTGGGACAAAGACTGTGGAAAGCTATGTTTGAAAGTGTCGGATTAACTAGAAGAAATCTCAAGGTCATCTAGCACGGAGGCCACTGCATGATTAATGCCAGCTGATTTTACAAGGCCTGTAGAGAGAATTAGGAACAAGGAGAAATAGGAAAACAATTTGAAAAATATGCATTGGACCAAAGAGGTTTGTTAAAGTCATCAGAGTCATGAATAAGAAGCCACATACTTTGCACTGAGACAGTACGAAATATGTCTTGAGGACTTGTCAGGAAATGGTTGGACTTCACTTGGGCCAGCCTTAAGGGTATAAAAGTTTTAAATCATTTGAAAGACTTTGCTTTGGGACGAGAACTCTGGGACAACCTGTTCACACAGGGTCCCTTAGGGAAGCATTTCTTCTTCATGCAGCCATCTGGGCATTCGTGGGACACTGGGTGGTAGGTGTGATCCAAATGGGATAGACTTGGGGAAAGAAAGGACTTCTGTGGCACCCACACGGTACCAGCTGTGTAGCCATGCAGAATTCAAGAGCTGTGAGGTCCCAGATTTGAAAGAAAAACCCGAGAGGCCAGGCAATGCATAGCAGGATCACAGTCCCTACGGAGAGCCCTTAAGACAGCCAAGCATGCAGCTGTGGGGTGCAGTGGAGTCCCAAGATGTTTAGCGATACCCTCAAACATAGAATGCTTGCAAAACAAAGCAACAAGCAGCGTATGGAGGCTACCCAAGAGAGAGGTCACGTGGGCTGCAAACAGCGAGATTGCACAGTCAGGCTACCCATGACTGCTGAGGCCCACATCCAGGTTCCCCTAGATACTAGATATGAAGCTACATGACTTAGGGCTTGTTTGCCCTGCTGTGTTTTGGTCTTGCCTTCTTCCTGTCTCTCATTTCTATGCCATTCTATCTTGTTGGAATGGGTATGTTTACTCTGTGCTACTGTGCTGAAAACATACAATAACTGATCTTTTATTTTGTAGTGGCTCATAGCAAAGAGTTTACCTTGAGTCTCAGAGGAGACTTTGAACTTGGGCTTCTTTACGTTCCTTAAGATTTTTTTAAAAGAAATCTCTGTGCATGTATGTGTATGGATTTATGTGCATTTTTTGAGTACAGGACCCTCTGGAGGCCAGAAGATGGAGCCAGAGCCCTTGAACTAGAGCTCCAGGCAGTTGTCAGCCACCTGATGTTGGTTCTGGTAACTGAACTCTGGTCCTCCAGTTGACAAAGGGTGGACTTGAGATAAAGACACGTCCTTTTACCTTGAAACTTTAACACTGACACACAGTGAGTCCGCTGAGGTGACTAGAGACATGAATTCAATGGGGACTGGTCTCTGAGAATCTAGAAGCCAAGAGCAGCATGGTAACATTCCATCCACGGACTTTTCCAGCCTCAGTCTCAGCCCTACTGACCTCCCTCACAATAGGACATTGGCATCTGATAATGAGGGCACTAAACTGTCTGGTCCATTGTAGTTTTTCTCTCAAATTCCTTCTATGGTTTCATCTTTATAGGAGGACCCATCTCAGTAGAGAGGGTATTTCTCATGTTTTGTATTCTCTACCTCACCTGATGATCTCTGGGCTACTTGTTCTCACCTGGCCGGGCTGTCCTCAGTTGGACCACAGCGTGGGCACTGCCGACTGCATTCTCAGCCATGCACTGGTACACGCCTTCGTCCTCAGGCCCGACGCTGACCACCCGAAGCGCCCTGCGAGACAGCCGGAGGCGCTGGCTGGAGGTGAGGGGCACGGCATTCCTCAGCCATAGCACAGAGGGTGGGGGGTTTCCTCGAACCTCACAGGTGAGCTTTGCACTCTGGCCCCATGGGATCACCAGCTGGGACAGCTCCATGGTGACCTCAGGGGGCTCTGTGGAGAAAACAGATCAGAATGAGGAAGGCTGCATTTCTCCATCTCCAGGACCACACAGGCTAGATGAGACGCTGCCTCAGACTGGCTTCCTCCTCTCTGGCTGTTGGGTTCTTCCTATGGGAAGAGTGGGGGGAGTGGATGTCTAGGTGACCAAGACTACATCAAAATCCAGGACCTAAGTCCTGGGTTCTAAGACTCTCTGTCTCCCCAGAGCGCTTCCTTATTTATCAGCTCCATAGACTATGACATATAACCCTCTCTGAGCTAGATTATGTTTCTAGAAGGTCCAGGAAGATCAGTGGGGAGGTTAAAGAGGATGAGGTCCATAGAGATGCTCACCAAACACCTGGACATTGTAGAGAATGACAGCTGCCCCGGGATCCCCAACCCCATTGCTGGCCATACAGTGGTAGGTGCCCGAGTCCTCTTCGCTTGTAGTGTCAATAAGCAAGTTACTCAGCAGGAAGCGAGTCTTGTTGTAGGCAGCAATGCTGGACCCATCCTTGGCCCACGTGACTCGAGGTGGCGGGATTCCACTGGCCACACACTCCAGTATGAGACTCTGGCCTTTGGTGACAATGACAGTCTGGGCTTCCAGTGGGTAGATGATGCGGGCAGCCTCAGCGGTGGACCCTGGAGTGGGGACAAGGGATACACAGAATAAGATGTGGACTTCTTCCAGCCTGTCGCTGATGGCCCAGCTCCAGAAGGGCTCCAGAGAACATGGACCTGAGATGAAGCAATCCATCTGAGCTCACAGCATAGCCAACGCAATGCCACTTGTCAGGAGCAAGGTCTTCCTCCTGCACAGACTGTAACTTAAGTCTCTTCACTACAAGTGCTTACAGAGAGATGAGGGGGCTGAGACAGAATCGTCTGAATGGCACGGGCAGTTATTTCCTGCTTGACTTCAGGCAGGGCGCTCTGAGCCTGAGGTCAAACTGAGACATCAGGATCCGCTAGGTCCCTAGAGTTCAGCATCCGAGGGAGTGTGTCCCTTACAGTGTGAGGAACCCACTAAGCCAAGCAGGAGCCACTGGTGAAAAGTTATAAATTTCTTACAAAGTCTCCAAACACAAATCAGTGGTTCTTTCTGGTTATCTTTCTCACAGCTGGGCAGAAAGTGCACAGAACGGCTGACAGGCAGTTACTCTCTCCAGCGTGCTGCCATCCCAGGGTCCCCACAGTGCCTGCTTCAGGATCCACTTTGTCCCCTCCTTCTTGCAAAGTATCATGGAGCAAACGGGCAAAAGGAGTTGCCCTCCACAGTGATGAGCTATGGTGGCAATCAAGGCCGGGATGCTGTCCCCGCTCTACCTCCAGTCTCACAGACCCTGTGTCCCCAGATCCTCTCTCACTCTCCGGCTTCGCTGGACCTTATCCACAATAAATACCCCATAATCAACAAGTGAACCCGGTCCTTACGGCGCACACGCAGCCTGTCACTGGAGCCGGAGGTTTTCACTTCCTGGGTCACTGGGTTGTAGGCGGCACACTTGTACATGCCCTCATCCTCCTGGCTGGCATTGACAATTTGGAGATTCCCCGACGGCATGATCAGGTAGTTGTCTGTGGAGACAGTAGGGGAGAAGCAAGATGAGGTGAGTTTGAGCCCAGAATTGTACAGTCTGATACTCCCCTAGAGATAAGAGGTCCAAGAGAGAACCAAAGAAAGCCTGAAATGTTGCTCTCCACAGAAAACTTAGTACTGTGTGGACAGAGCGCCAGAGTAAGGAAGTGACTAACTACAGGCTCCTGGCTGCTTGGCTGACTGCCTCTGAGTTAGTGCTTGTCTGAAGCTCATCTCACTCTCAAGGGGGCTAGGTAGAGAGGATGCAGGCTTAGGGTCAACCTGGGCTTGAGCTCTAGGTCTACAGGATAAGGCGTGATCCTGAGACGTTAGCAGCCCCCTTAGATCCATTTATAAAAAGGCAGAATGTCTGCTGCTAAAACGCTCTTAAGATTGAGCCTCGGGGGCTGGAGAGGTGGCTAAGCGGTTAAGAGCACTGACTGCTCATCCAGAGGTCCTGGGTTCAATTCCCGGCAACCACATGGTGGCTCATAACCATCTGTAATGGCATCTGATGCCCTCTTTTGGTGTGTCTGAAGACAGCTATAGTGTACTCATATACATAAAATGAATAAAGAATTAATAATAAAAAAGATTGAGTCTTGTGCCATGTAAGTGGGGAAGAGGTGAGTTTATCTAACTGACTTAGCATTTCCTACCTATCTGCATAACAGTCCCCAGTCTAAGCCACCATACTAGTGAAATCCTTCTACTGAAGAGGAGTACCCTTACCCCTAGCCATTGCCCTGTCTGTGACAGCCACTGAAACACCATATTGTTCATCGCTGGCCTGGCAGGCTTTGTCTGCTCCTAGTCCAAGAGTGTTGTGGGTAGATGGGTGGGGCTGAAGCATGTGTTCAGGTTTGTTTGGCAGGAGGCAGACTCAAAACTTCTGGACAGCCAAGCAACAGGGGTGGCCCTCAGTTTCCTGGCAGGCAGGGCACTGGCCTCTAGTCAGCTCTAAGCTCTGTCCTGGTGGTCCCTCCTGGGACTCGGGGTGTCACCAAGCTTGGTGCCTGCCTGCTGCTGGGCCACCCAGGTGTGAGCTTCTTAGGCAACTGCCAGATGGAGAGAGTGTTGTCCCGCTGCTGCCAAGCCTCTGCCGGGCAAGGATGAGAGTTCCCGTCCTCTCTTATCTCTTCTCTGCTATTTCTGAGTGGTTGGACCAGGGTGCTTACGTTTCAAAAGCAGCTTTCTGTCTTTTCTGAGTTTCTTCCCCCTCCCCTAAGATTTCCAACATGACATATATTCTTTTCATAAGCAAAAAAAAACCAAAAAAACAAAAAAACAGCATATATACTATGGAAAGTATGCATTTTGAGTTACACGGCCAGGGCAAGTTAGGTTCACTTGGCCTTATGTGTAAGTTTGTTGTGATGTGAGCTGACTTCATTTTAATGGACATACACCTCCTTGTTGGCACTGTGAACCACTGTGACCTCTCCTAGGCCAGCCACCATGCCCACTATGGTCTGAGCAGGAAGCTGTGAGAGCCGAGATTACCACAGTACCCAGGAAATAGGAGAGCTGCGCAGTCTCAGCAAAAGACTGCTTTGCCGTGTGGGGGAAGACCCTTTCCTACCAGGGAAGGCAGAAGCTCTGGGGTTCTGGGCTTGTCAGGCAGTCTTTCTCTACATGCCCTGTGATGGGGGCTCGACCAGGGAGCATCAGGAAACAGCCATGTGCTGAGCATTTGGCGACGCCCTCCAGGGCCCCACAAGATGAGTTAAGCCTCCATGACAGGACAGAGGAACTCCATCATGGAAACTGCCCCCTTAGGATCTTTGAGAGCCAAATGTCAGAGTACAGGACAGCTGGCTAGCCTGAGGTTGGGGCTGTCAACATTATCATGAGGACTCAGGGAGGTAGCAACAGCTAACACAAATGAAAGCAGTCAGAAGCCAGCTCTCCTGAGCTTCCTGCTTATTCCTTACCTCTAGAGGCCTCCAGCCACTCCTGTTTGACACTGTACCGGACCTGGGCTTTTGGGTGGCTCTCAGGCAGGTGGCAGGCAATGACGGCTGTGTTTCCCTCGTCTACTTCAATCACATGCTGTACATCTAACTTAAAGTCCTGGAGATCTATGAAGAGAAAGGAAGGTTCCTCTTAGACCTGGATGGAGAATGTCAGTGTGGTATCCCAAGTGGGTTCCTGTTAGGAGTCACAGTAAATGGCTTCAGCATTTGGTCTGGTCCATAAGAGGATGCTGAGACAGTTCTCAGTGTCTGGAGATAGAGACAGGTTTATAAGGATGATCTGCACAATCCTCATCACCAGATGGAGTTCAACTTGAGGTGTTTGTAGACATAAGTTTGGGGAGACATAGAGAACCCTGCTAGAAGGTGTCCAGAACAGTTTCTTCTGTGACACTGAGCCCTAAGAGTGAGATGGTCCAAAACGGCTGTACTAGATACATGTCATAGTCAAGGCACAAAGGTCCAAGCACACCTGTCAGAAGGTTCTATAAATGGAGACTGAAGAGAGATGAAAAGAAATCCTCATGTTTTTCTCCAGTTCCATCAAGAACAGCCTCCCAGGTTCTTCTCATACAGCCACAGAAGGTGAAAAGTGACACAGTTACCAACCTTGATCATAGCCAAAAGATGCCGCCCAGGGCCTCCTGTCTCTAATGACTACTCCTCCCTTTGGGTGATAGGTGGGACTCTGTGGATGCCAAGTGTGGCATGTCCATGTAAGGGGCAGTATGACGTGGTTTCCTGACTCTGGAACAGAGCCAGCAGGGCATGAGCCTCCATGAATGTTGATGGTTGCTGTGGACATAAGGCTTGTTTGTATAACAGTCTACATATTTTCATGTTCTTCCTCCAAGGAATGTCCCCTCTGCCAAAGTTAATGACTATAATAATCAGAGACAGCACGAGTCTGGGAGGTGAAGGCCTGTCTCAGTGTCTTAGTAGAATGCTGTGACCTTCAGGGCAGCCCTTAAGACTGTGGAAAAGAATGCTGAAAATGTGAGTTCAAAAATATATAATTTCGCCAGGCAATGGTGGCACACGCCTTTAATCCCAGCACTTGGGAGGCCGAGGCAGGCGGATTTCTGAGTTCAAGAGTTCGAGGCTAGCCTGGTCTACAGAGTGAGTTCCAGGACAGCCGGGAAGACACAGAGAAACCCTGTTTCAAAAAACAAAAAACAAAAAAATTTAAAAATTTAAAAATTTAAAAAAATAAAATTTTATATATATATATTTTTTTTTCTGAACAATGCAAAATATGAGAATGCAATATTAATTGTATAAGGAGCTTCACAGATCTAAAGGAACAGAGGCATCTGTGCTATGATTCAGCTTGTCAGAAAGATACTAAGGAAGAAGATAAAGAGATTTAGGGAGTGGCAATTACAGGCAAGATCCCACCCAGCTAAATTTATTGTTTGTGCTTACAAAGGCTGGTAGATTCACGAGTTCAAGATCAGCCTGAAACAGAGCTAATTTAGGACCAGGAGTAGTCAGAATAGGAATTTCAGAGTTGGGTCCCACCCAGCTACCTTATTGTCTGTGCTTGTGCTTGCTGTTTTTTGTTTGTTTGTTTTCTTTTTTGTTTTTTGTTTTTGTTTTTCTAAGAATCAAGGGACTGGGGTCATGGAAAGCTGATACATGAAATAATCAAAAAGGAACCTGGGTTAAAGACTGAACTGATATGTAAAATAAAAGACTGGGCTTTTGGTCTGCAAGAAATGAGCTATCAAGAGAGTTTTTAGAACAGCAAGATAAAGCTGTTTCGAGCAGAGAGCTCCCTGGAGATTTCCAGAGAGAGCAGAACAGAGAGGGGTAATCTGAAAGCTGTCTCGAGCAGAACATAGGCTGTCAGCTTGGACCCATGATTTGCCTTCCAGTCATACGTTATGCCACTCACAAACACCCCTTGTCTCAGACCCCATCTCCAAGCCAAAGCTTGTCCTTGGCAGGTGGATACCTAATGATTTTCCTAGATGACAAGGGATCTCCAAGGACTTCCCAGTTGGTACCTCACTGTGGAATCTGAGAGGAGCTGAGGGTCCAGACATAGGCTTCAGCATTCTCTGGCATCCTGCAAATGTTTCTTCTGTGTCAGCTTTGTGAGATAACTAAGTCTAAAAAGGGAGAGGATGAAGACCTATCTAGAGCAGGGGCAGGATGTTTCCTAAACAATCCATGTGTCTAAAAAATAAATTTCTTTGCACGGGCCAAATCACTGATGCTGTTAAAAAGCTGGGTCATTTCTACAACAAAACTACATTCTGGACAGGAGACATGGTTTTCAGGATTGTAGCTGCATCTATTTTAAGAGAAGGAATAAAGCTAATAGAATACAAAGAAAGAGCCAAAGATATTTTACTCTTTTCAGTGTGGTGCTGAGGAAGCCATGGAGGCCCACTCTCAAAGTACAGACCATTCCAAATGTTGCTTAGTCTCCAAGCCTTGGGCTTCCTGCAATTGTACTGCAAGATTCTACCTGTCTGCAATGTTGTTTCCATGGGCCACTCAGAAAAGGTAAGCAGAGTAGGCAGAAATAAGGTTCCTCACAAACTATGAGAAAGAATTACCCAAAATAAACTAGAGTCATCACAGGGGAACCTGGTAGTCAAGTCACCAAGGAAGGTCAAGGAAGCTTTCTACTTAATGGGACCTTCTAGAAGTTGTAAGTCAGGCCACAGTAGAGAAGAAAGCCCACTGCTTTTTTATGAAAAGATTATTGTCCCTTTCATTTCAGTGTTAAACTGTTGGCTTACTAAGGACAGGGCCAAGACTTGTTCATATGTATCCTCTAAGACTAACTTGGGTCTTGGCCCACAATGACAGTATACGTTCAATGACTTAATATCATGAAAACTAAGCTTCACAAGTTGGATGCCCATTTACTCGGCCTATGAACCTAAATTAAACCTTAAAAAGTTTGGTTTATGTTATGAGCTCAAGGACAAGGTCCTAACACAAATGTTTCATGAACATTTAACTAAAGCATGACCAAGGGCAGTTATTTTGGAAAAAGAATGGTAACTGGGAGGTCAGAAGATGGCATCTTATCCCCTTGAGCTGGAGTTATAGACAACTGTGAGCTATTTTTCAGGTTATACAGGTGCTGGGAATTGAACCCAGGTCCTCTGGAAGAACAACCATCACTCTTAACTGCTGAGCCATCTTAAATCTTTAGCAACATGTAAATAAAGGATCCTACATTTTCATTTTGTGCTGGGGTCTATAAATTATGTAGCCCTGATCTGGCGAAGCCTCTTAGGACAGTGAATGAGTTTTACTCTGAGAGGAAGAAGAAGAACTCTAGGAAAGGTGGTGCCTAGGCCCATGTTCCAGCTGAACACAGGTAATGCCACTCCTTTAAAAAACATTTCACTGAAAATATGCAAGGGCCCTAATCCTCCTTCAGGGTAGGGCACCCTGTACCTGCCAAGTCAGGAAGCTCCCCACAAAGTGAGCTATGAGCAACTGCACTTCAGAAGCATCTGGAAAATTTCCTCAGGCACTGAGAAACATTTTCCTCCATGGTCTAATAAATCTAAAGCTACCCCACCAAGAATTGGTCCCCCCCCACCAACACCCACGTCTTCTTTCTTTACATCATTCCAAGGAAAACTGCCCCAAGCAACAATATACTTAAACCTAGCAGTTCATTTTGAAGAAAGATGTGAACAACCGAAAGGAGCTTGGCACCAGAAAGCCACCTCCATTATAATGTCCCCAGGCTCCTGCCCACTACAACCGAAGCTCATCTGGGCACGAAGTATGTGCTCCACCAGGCACCTATCCACCCCTAAGTGCTAGAACACTGGGTCCTCCTTACGCCCCCTCCTGGCTCTCACTACACCCTCTGACAACTGCTAGAGCAGAAACAGAAGGCCGAGTATTCAGGGAGGCATGAAGCTGGGCGCTGGTCAGCCATGCAACCCAACTCTCCCTTTGTTCTGATGCCAACATGTGCACAACAGCCTGTGTGGGAAGGACCCTGGACACCCCTTCTGGGTGCTCCACTCCTCACAAGGGCTGACTGGCAGGCAAGTCTTCTTGGCTTCAAAACAAATAAGCAGCAGTTTGGTCTTTGTTGCTGTCCCTTCCGTGTGCCTCCTAAACTTAAGTCATAGCTGCCACTTTCATCCCTCCCAGTTTGGCAGCTGCACTAAGAATTCACTAAGGGATCAAAGGTGGAGTCAGGAAGTGATGATGTAAAAATCAGGCCCCCTCTTCCTTGTGTTTCTGTCCAGGAAGGAGGCCAGAGTTGGAAGAGACTCCGTGATCAATAACACAACAGTCTATTACTAGCAGACAGATGCAGAGGCATGCCTCATATGAAGGGGAGCAAGCAGCCTGTTCTCAGGCCAAGGTTCTGCAGAGAAGTTTCCTGACCTTCAACAAGGCCTCACTGGAAAGAAGGGGCAGGCCTTCAGTTCCAAATGGGGTTAACAGGCCTCTGTTGGTGGAAAGGCGGCTCAAGTTTCATGGGAAATGGCTTGATAGGACACACACCTGTCCTTGCCTGTTATCTGTGCTTGAGAAATGTGTTTCAGGAATGTTTTTTCAGCTTTAATCTTTTACCTTCCCTCGCCTCCTCCTTCTGTATTCTGTCTCTTGGCTGATTCTTCCAGCTACTTCATTATTGCCCAGTAGACCCATTCATTTCTCAGGTCTCCCTAGGTCTTTGAGGTCACATCTAAGGTTACTAACATTCCTTACTATCACAGTACTTTCTGAGAAAGCTTATCGTATTCTGAGCTCTATACAGTCCTGCCTGGTAGCTTCTCCTGAAAAGCCCAGATTTCAACGGGAAGCTGCATATTCTAACATGTTAATTCTGTAAGACGCCTAGCTGCACTGTCTACAGACATCTGTCTAAATGCTCACAGTGTGATGTGTTCTACACTTCCTCTTTCCACTTAAGAGGAAGGTCAGGCCCAAATTCTCTTGGCCATGGGAAAACCAGAAAACATATGAGAGATATTTATAAGCACTTCCTACCTAGCGTATGAGAAAACACATATGGGCACAGTTGATCTTGAGTTTATTTGAACTTTTCAACTACTTTCTAGTCCTCCTCATTCTGCCCTTAATCAGAAGCTCTTAATAAGAAGTAGAACAAACTAGGTGGTGGTGGCATATGTCTTTAACCCCAGCACTCAGGAGGCAGAGGCAGAGGCAGGCAGATCTCTGTGAGTTCAAGGCCTAGCTTTGTCTACAGAGCAATCTCTAAGACGGCCAGGGCTACACGGAGAAACCCTCTCTCACAAAACCAAAATATTATCATCATCATCATAATAATAATAATAACAATAACAATGATTAGAATTGTGAATTAAATTACAATACTTGGAGGAATATGCCTATGTATTCTCAATACAAACTGTCAAATCCTAACTGAAGACTTACCTCTTCCCAAAAACTTACTCTGTAACATGTCTAGTTACAGAGTGTGTCTAGGGTCTCAGCTCCAAGTTCCTAGCATAATCCAAACCCCCACTTTTCAAAGGATTTTTCACTCAGCCTTTTCCCAGGTGGTAAATCAAAGAAAGCTCTTTGTGTTCAGGCAGGAAAGATGGCACCTTTGCTGGATGCTGTAGGAGTCACTGACACCCCCATCTCCACGCAGGCGTTTATCACACACAGTCACGTCCCATATTCCCGCTGTGTTCTCAGAGATCAGGGACAAGCCTGCACTTATCTGCTGAGGTTTGGCTGGGATCCACCAGATTGTGGGCACTGCATCAGGCTCACTTGGCAAAGCTGCTGGGCTGGTGAGCAGCCCCAGAGCCACGGGCAAATTTCTGGGCTTACTGTTGTCAATTCTATTCCCCAATTCTCATGGCCTCCGAGCCTCAACTTGCCCCTGTGGTGGCTTGTTGTGTCTATGCTGAGGCTGCAGAGCTTGGGAAGAGCCTGTGCTGATGGCGCCACTATTCAGTGACGCAATGACCCCCGTGGTCATGGTCGTTTTCTGTACTTCAGCCACTTTGGAGGATGGCCCGTGGACAAGGAAGTAGAGATTCTGAGTGCTTTCTCTGGCTGATTCCCTGATTCACAGATTCATAAAAGGACTTAGGTGTGGCAGCAAAGACAGCAGAGGGGCCATGGCATTGTCTCCGTAAGTGGCCTCTGGCAGTATTGGGCTTTCCTGAGCTCTAAACTGTTCCTTCTATGTACAGAGAGTCACACATTCACTCAACCCTTCAGACATCTAAGATACATACAATAGCTTAGCTACACCCATGAATTATCCTTGAAGAAAAGTAACTTGCAAATGGAAAACCACAAAAGCCACCTGCTAAGGACAGGGGAGCAAGTAAAGCTTCAGCTGATGGCGCTCCTGAGCTCAGGGCGCCTGGCACCTGGAGAGGGACTGGGGCTATGGCTTGAGCAGGCCTCTCAGAAGCTGAGCATCTGAGGAAGTGACTAAGTGCTTACCAGTGGGTAGCCAAGGCACACAGACCACTAAAGCCAAACTCCACTGTAACTCACAGGGCTGGCCCAAACCAGTGTTTCCTAAGGCGGACATTTAGTACAGTTCCATCCCTTCAAGCCTCATGGATGCCTCCACTCAGTTATTCTGGTACTCAGAGTTACACAAATCCCTGCATAAAATGCAAAGGAAATAAGATAGGTCCCGGACAGTTGGGGCTTCTGATCTAACCGATGAGATAGGTAAGGTCAACATAAGGTAGAAGACAGTCCTGTATCAGAGTGGTGGCCCCAGCATGGTCCTCAGCTCCTCCACCAACAGTCTAAGGCAGGCTGCCACAAGCTGCTTGCAATTTGAGGAGGGAACTGTAGATGCCAGCTTTGTGTCTTGCTTGGCAGGCCAGGACAGTGGATAAATACAGTTGCTCTCTTTAGGATTTTTCCCCCCCTGCCAATCCAATTGTACAAATAATTTTGGCTCCAAACAAAACTCTTTCCTGACAGCCATGGATGACATGAAATTTCTTAAACACACTTTCTGATGAAAGCATGGCATGCTATGGTGTCTTTTATTTAAATAAAAACCAGTTTCTATGGGTGGGTGTGGGGGGGGAAGATTTTGCATCTGCCAAACAGATTAGTTGTCAAATCTTTTTGTTGTTGTTGTTGTTTTTGATTTTCCCCCCTCAGTTGAGGTGTGGTTTCCCACATTTGAAAGGTAGAAAGGCTAAGAATGGAGGAAAGATGAAAGACAGCAGAGGGCAGGAAGTAAAGGCAGAAAAAGAAAAACCATTAGTTAAGAGAGAAAACTGTAGCTGAAAAGAGAGAAGGCATAAAGAGGCAGGCATGTGAGGGGAAGGAAAGAAAAAAAAGAATCTATTTTGCAATGTTATTAAATGATTTGCAACAAACTGGCTTAAGGCTTCAGGAATTTTTTTTTTTTTTGGCTTGAACCAATTAAAAAATATTTTTAAAAGACATAAGAGAACATGAAATGTGATTAGTCCTCAAAGAAGAGTCAAAGATGGAGCCCCGTCTCCACCGAGTCTGGCAGCCAGATGCACAGAGAGATGTCTGCAGCCATGCTCATTTGTTGAGCTGCAATGTCTCTGTGAGGTAGTGCTGGCCCACAGAGCTGCAGTTTCTTTTGGACTCGATGAGAGTTTGGAAAAAAATACATTGAAGTAAGAGAGAGGAGAAAAAGATTTACTTGCCAACAACCCACATCACAAATACTTCTCTGATCATCCAAATATAAATATAAATACAAACTCAGCAATGGGAAAATTCATGTAAATCCTGGTGGTCTGGACTCATCAGAGGCAAAGCTGGATCCCAGCATGGTCTTTGACAGGGCTGGTGGCCAGCACGGAGAGAGAGGAGAGAGAAAACAGGAGCCAAGCAGCTCCGAAGGGAACAGAGATCTTGAGCACGGCCCTTGTAAACAGAATTCCAGGTTGGAGAGACAGGACCACTATCCTGGGGACAGAGGGGTTCATGTGTCCCTTCTTTCTTCCGACACATTTGTGGGGGCACATGCACACACACGATGTCACACGGTGACAGCTCTCATGAGTCATCTCCCATCAGATTGTAGGATCTGGTGGTTGAATACAAGTGCCAGGCCTGCATGCAAGAGAGGCTGCCCACTGAGCCATCTTGCCAGCTCTCTGTTTTGTTTAATATTTCTAATACTTTTGACTTCCATCAGTTTTTTTTCTAAAAGTTCTTCTGTATTATCAACCTGTTTTTACAAATTCCTTCTTTACTCTTTCTATTTATGTTACCCCCCCTCATACACCCCCACATTGTGAAATTAGGATTAGCCAAAATTAGTACAAATGCGTTCATCCCATTCAAGGGGAAACACAGAAAACACAGGAAGGTTCAGCTATAAACACGGACAAAACAGGAAGTCATAGGAAACAATGTCATCAGGACAAAACTGCAAAAAGAATGGATTGCTCACCTCACACGTAAAAACACCTCAAAGGGAAAACCGCTCCAAGCTCAGGTATTAGCTCATGTTGTAGTAAAGTGTACTAGTTTCTGTTGTTGCTTTCCTAAAGGGCCGGTTCACTTGGTTAACTGAGAGTATGTTGTCATGGTTTCAATATGCTTGGCCCAGGGACTGTCACTATTTATTTAGAGGGGTGGCCTTGTTGAATAGGTGTGTCACTGTGGGCATGGGTTTTAAGACCCTCATCCTAGCTGGCTGGAAGTCAGTCTTCCACTAGCAGCCTTCAGATGAAGATGTAGAACTCTTAGTTCTGTCTGAACCATGCCTTAAGAAGGTGGGAGTGGTGATAAAGATTCCTGGGGAGTCTTGAACACAGAATGAGCAAGCTGAAGGGGTGGGATGAGAATGGAAAGGAGACTACAGGGCAGAGGCAGGGCTATGCTGGGTGGGGCTTGAGCCTGTGACCCCTGAAGTCACTGTGTACTTTTAAGCACAGAGAATCAGTCGCTGGAAATAAAGCACCATCTTCTTTCTTTCTTCCTCCTTCCCTCCCTCCCTCCCTCCCTCCCTCCCTCCCTC